AAAAAAAAGATTCTAATATATTAAACATATACTCCCTATACACATGACATATAGTACAAAAAAATCTTCTAATATATTGAACATATACTCCCTATACACACCACATATACTGCATGTAAATACACGCAACATATACGGCAGTGAACATATACTGTACATATATCGTAGATATATTGTACATATACTACAATCCAAAGTCGGCGGATTCAATGTACTAACTGATCTACACATAGTCTAATATCCTTAAAAAATGGAAACAAAATTAAATTTTCCTGCAACCAACCAATCATCTCCCTCGATCATGGCAACGCCGAAACCCTCTTATGCCGGCAGTAATTTAGTAAATCATCCTCCGGAAGATATTCCTCTTCTCCCTCGTCGATTCCATGGAGAACGATTATTGGATCGCCTAGGGTGAGAAAATCATCGGGAGATGAACTATGCTTTTGAACTATAGCTTTACCGGCGACCTTCCGATTAAGATGAGGGTTCATATTGTTATTTTTTTTTCAAAAATTGAGCTTTCCTTGAACGAGGTTTGGTTTTATTAAGGAATGGATTATATGAAGCCGTGAACTCGTCTTTCTTTCTGGTGTTTAATTGGCACTGCTGTTCGTTTTTTTTTTTTTTTTTGGATGTGGGAATTGGGAAAAAAAATGCTTGAAGAGATGGAGAACATGGAGTGTTGATGGCAGATAATGGTGGTAGGGGATGAAGATTAGAGGCGATTTTTTTGGTAAGGATATATCAAAGACTCAATTAATGTTCTAATCACAAATAAGTTGCCCTACATTCCTTAATAACGGTTGAACTGTTTGTGATTGAAAATCAGGTATATTTGTAAAATTTTAGGGTTGAATTAGCTATTTTATAAATAAAATTAAAATAGGTGTAAAAATGTTATATAAATAAGATATGATTGTATGTGGTGCAAATTCCTCAATTGGAAACAGGTCTTCTACTGTTTTTTACAGGATGGGCCGGGCTAGTCTGCTAGACCATAGAAAAAACGGCCCAAAATAATTTTGGCACCGCGCCAGCTCAAATTTTAAATTAGCCCAGCGGGCTCGAGCCTACCTAGTCCAATATTACAACTACAGAAGAGACATCAAGTTTACATTCAGGCTCAAGTTTCAAAACTGAAATTTTCAACAAAGAATGCATCAAAAATCCACAGAAAAAAAAAAAAAAAACCCAAAAATTCTCCCTTTGTAAACCAAAACTAAAAATATATATATATATATAGTTTTCCTATTTTTCTCTCATTGATTTACTTCTTGGTTTTTTAAGCTCCCAAGGTGGCAGACAACCTTTGTAGTGAGTGTGTAGGAACAAAGATGACATCGACACTTCTCGATTTCTGTGGTGCATAGAAATCGAAGAGAAGCAGCTTAGAGATCTCCTCAAACTATTCCTCTCACAATCCGGGTCTCGACAATTCGCATCGTGACGTACTTTGGTCGTTTTGAGGGCCTCCGGAAGAATAAAATTGCACACTGAACCTACATGAGCCAAAAAATTAAGAAAGAGGAAAAAAAAGATTAAAAATCAAGATTTACATAAATCATGCAACAATTTTGAAAGAAAGGAAAAAAAATGTGGAAAACCAGTTTGTTTGGTAAGCACCATAAGCTAACTTATAGCTTATTTGGTTAACTTATAAGCTTTCTCTTATGAGTTTGATCTGGTAGAACGATTTTTTTTTTTTAAGCTCAAGCTTATCAAGTTTCATTGGATAACTTTTCAAATAAGCTCGTTGAAATTTTTATTTCAGCTGGCTTATCAGCTATTTTACCAAACACTTCTATCATATCTAGTTTTTCAGACATAGCTATCAGCTCGAAATTCATATAAGCTATCACTTAGCATATCAGCAATCAACTAGATTTACCAAATGTATCCAAAATCTATCCTGAGGAGTTTGGCATATTTCCAATGAAATTTAGTAGTTTTTCGAAATAACACATATTACGGACGACCCTTGTTGATTCTTCGTGTTTTATGAAGTTAAAAACTAGGCACAATGCTATTATGTTGTGTGTGTGTGATGCTATTATCAGCCCATCCATGATGGTCCAGCATAAATAAATAAATAAATAAATAAATAAATAAATAAATAAATAAATAAATAAATAAATAAATAAATAAATAAATAACGATTGAGTTCATTTATATCTACAGAAAATTGAGTTTTTTTTTTTTTTTTTGCAAAACTAAATGTAGAAAATAGACGATGTGAAATTCGAATTTGCATCTTTGGAACTATGAAGGAAATGCAAAGACAAAAACATATATGTGTGTGTATATATTTCGTTTTTGAATTTTTTGGTGTACAGACGTACACACCATTTCAGTCGTTTTTTCGACCGTCTCGAAATTGATTTTTCACCATCCAATTTTGTAATATACATTAAATTAATATGTACTGTGGCAAAAGAAATTATGTTTGAGCATTTTTAATCATTATTTAAGAGTTTTTTCGTTTTTTAATTTTACACCACTGTATAATCTATATTACAAACTTTGATGGTGAAAAATTTGAGACGATAAAAAAACGACTGAAAATATATATATATGGTCATGAAATTGGTGGAAAGGGAATGGATAAAAACCTATCCGTGCTAGCCGATTCACCCATTTTGGAATGCGATTTCCCGTTAGCTTATAGCACATATCCTCACAAAAATGGTTGCAATTCTTAACGACCAGATGATACGTGTTGCCATTGTAGTTCACAGATTGGTGCTCCATAAATTCCCGAACTTGGTCACGTTTCAAATGTGTTGTACCAATGAAAATCGACTTCCGGAATCTAAATCCAGGGCATTGTTTTGGGTCGATTTCAAACACCCCACTTGTGGGGTACTCGTGAGCCCCAAAAGCATATTCAACACCGTGCACTGCAAATATAGTAAAAAAAAAAAAAGTAGAATGAGCCGTAAGAAGAGACGAGTTCCAAAAAAAAAAGAACTACAAATTCACATTAGATTGGAAAATGCACTAGTGAACCATTAATTGAGTTGTGTCAAAAACGAGTGGATCATATGCACTTAGGCTATGTTTGGTAACCAAATAAGCAAGCGTACAAGTTATAACTTATTTGTAAGTTAGCTTTAATGCTTTATTGGTTAGTTTATAAGCTCTTTGTATTCAAATAAGTTCCGTTTGTTAGAACAGAGTTTAGCTCGAGCTTATCCGATAAGCTTCTTTGGGTACTTTTTCAAACAAGTTCGTTGAAACTTTTATTTCAACTTCAATTAATTTTACCAAACACTTTTATCATATAAGTTGCTTAGTTTTTCAGCTATAAGCTCGAAAATCATTTATAAGCTATCAACTAGTTTTACAAGAAACATAGCCTTAAGCATCTTGGAAACTCAATTAACATGCTAAACTTAACAATTTACGCACATTGATTTTTATGTACTCGGTTCATGCTCAATTTTAAAGTAAAGAACCAGCTTTACCTTCGACCCCAGTGTGAAATACGCCAACTCCAGCCCAATAAAGGTAGCCATTAATGGGAGTTAAATCATACACATTGAGATAAACAGGAAAGCTCTCGGAACTGTGATCTGGCGACTTAACTTTCGGATAAACACAGAATCCCGTACCAGATTCGCCACCTGTCCCGGGGCTGTGATCTGCCGACTTAACTTTCGGAAAAACACAGAATCCACTGGAAGATTCGCCTCGTGTGTGAATAGGTACAACCGATCGCCAGCCATCTTTAAATTTCATGTTAAAACTGGGAAATGAATTTAAGGGTCAGAATAACTCTACACGAGTAGAAAATGTTTTAAGGGTCAGAATAACTCTACACAGAGTAGAAAATGTTTTTATTTGTAAAAAAATCTGACAGCTTCAAAATGGGGCTAAAGAGAAAATATTTAGTCAGCAAGAAAAATGTGCAATAATTTTTTTTTCACTAAAGTTGCGATATCCGCAAGTGATTATTTATTTTCTACTTCGATCAATTTTGCAGTTGTCAAGTCATTGACGGTGCTGAAAACATCCTATAAACGTGTCCCTAAACAGTCATGGTCATTAAGTTTCTGAAAAATCTAATCCTTAATAAAATGTAAACTTATCTGGCCCGTTTTCTGTCAAAACCACGAAATAAGCAGGGAATAGTAAGTAGCTATTGCTTTGTATTTTTTCAATTCGAAGGAAGTAAAAAAATTCTCTACAGATTTAGAAACTCATTTCTTTTATAAAATGTGCCTTAAAGTATCAGATCCAATGAGCAACTTTACGTGTCTTCATAATCTGAATATCTCATTCAGAAGGCAGAACTCCACAAGATTCGGAAGTATAATTTCAACATGTGCACGCAGCTCTCGGTTTTACCATGTTCATAATACCACACAAGTAATCAACAACAATTGGAGTTTTAGCATGTTTCATCACAAATTCTAACATTCTACTTACATGTCAAAAGTCTATATAAGCTGGATTAGTTAATGCATATATAACATGTGTTGCTTTTCACACAAATGCACCAAACCCTTTTTTACCTACTACCCGTGGGGCCCGCTTATACCCGTCGCTTTTGGTCAAAGACAATATTTTGCCAAAAACTTTCTTGTTTTTTTTTTGAAGTTTCTTACTTGCAGCTTTGCCATTGGAAACAGAAGCCAAGATATTCAAGGGAGGACTACCTACATTGTTCTTTTCGGTTTTGGTAGTAACAAGACATAAGCTCGAATAAGCTTAACAAAACTAACGAATGCCACATTTCTATATCAAGTTACTTGAGATTCATTACCATTTTCTCAGCATCAGACAATCAATCCCTTCCTTATTCAATTCTATCTCCAAACCAAAACAAATGAAGCAATTAGTGGGCAAACACGGTTTTTTACCATTCGAGCACACACACTCACACACATACCCACATGGATGTGTGTTGATTCAACGTTAAAAAAAATCCCGGGTTAAATTTTTGGTAACTAGTGATCAAAATGGGCTTTGAAGAATAAGAAGTTCACACACACACACACACACACACACACACACACACAGAATAAGCACCCAAACCTTTAATTGCCTAGTCCCAGGTCATAAATTCCTCACACACACGCACACACACACACACACAAATGAAGCAATTAGTGGGCAAATACGGTTTTTTACCATTGGATCACATGCACTCACACACATACCCACATGGATGTGTGTTGATTCAACAATAAAAAAATCCCAGGTGTAATTTTTGGTAACTAGTGATCAAATGGGCTTTGAAGAATAAGAAGATAACACACACAACACACACACACACACACACACACACACACACACACACACACCAAGAATAAGCACCCAAACCTTTTAATTGCCTAGTCCCAGGTCATAAATTCCACACACATTACATAAAAATCGAAGCTTTTTATCACCACGAAAAGCAATTAGCGGAAAAAGAGAACGTCGATCTGAAAAACCCAATTGGATTCTTAACACAACACACTTCAAAAAGAGTTAATTGAACAAAAAAAAAAAAAAAAAAAA